GGTGTGTGGGTGTGGGTGTGCGTGTGTGTGCGTGTGTGTGTGTGTGTGTGTGTGTGTGTGTGTGTGTGTGTGTGTGTGTGAGAGAGAGAGAGAGAGAGAGAGAGAGAGATTGACAAACCAGTTGACCAAGTCGCTGATACGGAATCAGGGGGGTGGGCAGTCCTTACAGGCGGCGCGTTCCTGGGAGTTCATTGGGGGGAAAAAAGAAAAAAAAACACGGAAAAACAAGTGGAGGGCCTGGTAGCACTCACAATGTTGAGTTCAGCTAGCTCAACTGTACAACACAGGTACTTCGAATGTAGGAAAAAATTCAAAAACCAAAATTTAATAAATGCAAAAAAAACTTGAAAAAAAAGGCGAAACAAGTTCAAAACAACTGCTGCTAAGATCTTTTGTGCATACTTGCAAAATGGGAAGTTGGTGAAACGAGTCAAACAACAGAATAGACCTGAGTCATGCTGAGTGAAACTCCCCGTGTTCTAGGTAACGTCGGACACCGGGACATGAAGACGTAGTGAAATGAATGTGGACAACGTGGATGGCACTGTGCATTCACTGCGCCAAAAAAAAAAAAAAAAAAAACGAGTTTGAGGCTGCGGCTCCAAACACACAACCATCAGTCTCTGTCTGTGGTCCCCACCCATGAGGAGGTAATGATGGCTCCACAGTGAGTCAACACCATACTTGCAACCGCACCGTGTGCCGTACTGTGCGGCGCGGCACCTGCTCGTGCGCCGTACGAGTGACAGTTTCCTTTTTTTTGTTTTTTTTTTGCTGGTTTTGTTTATACAGCAGAGTGCACCACCTAAGGAACATATCTTTGTCAAGTACAGTCGTACATATTTTCCTTTCCGTCCTATTGGGCATGAGAGGGAAATAGCCTCAAAGCTCAAACTGGTGTCTGCGACATCAGTCTTTTTTTTTTTTTTCCCTTTTTCCTTTTTCTTTATGAAAGCCCAGGTTGTTTTAGAAGCCGGACTCCAGACATATGGGTTACTGTCACAGCCATTGGCTGTTCTGACACACTCCTTTTTCTTTTTCTTCTCGTAAGACCACCTCCCTACCCATCCTCTCGCCAATTCTCCTAGCGCACACCTACCCCTACTATCTTACCTCTTTTTTTCATTTTTTTTTTTCAGTACTGATTACTCAGGACTATCCCCATGTTATTTCAGAGGGCGACTTGGACCAGACAGTACCTCTAGGCACTGGGCCTAGGCAAGGCCAAGCACGAAGCTTTGTAAACCCCACCCAGCCCCAGTTGAGGCACACTGGCACAGTCAGGCAAGCCACATTAACAGGGTACATCGGGCGCCAGGCTCGAGCGGTATTTGTACTTTACCTCCCAGCCCCCACTCCGGCATGACTTGGACCAGACAGTACCTCTAGGCACCGGGGCTAGGCAAGGCCAAGCGCGAAGCCTTGTAAACACCACCCAGGCCCAGTTGAGGCGCAGTCAGGCAAGCCACATTACCAGGGTACATCGGGCGCCAGGCTCGAGGGATATTTGAACTTTTCCTCCCAGCCCCCACTCTGGCATGTTTTTGCCAGTGGATATCTATCTTGTATGTCCATAGTTCCAGATACCGAGGCGGGACAAGGTCAAGCGCGAAGCCCTGAATACCCGGCCAGCCCCAGTCGTGTGTCTGCAAAAAATCTATATGTCCATGGTTCAGGATACCAAGGGTAGGCAAGGGCACGCGTGAAGCCTTGAAACCCCCCATCAGCCCCGGTCGTGTGTATGTAATATGCATATATATGCCATGGTTCCAGATGTCGTGGCTGGGCAAGGGCTAGCGCGAAGCCTTGGAAACCCCCGCCAGCCCCGATCATAGTGTGGGCCCCCACTAAGCCCGACTCGAGTTCCCTATGCATGAGAGTTGTACGGTCGTGTGAATTGCGGGCTTATCTGTGCAAGAACCACCCCCCCCCCCCCCNGTCCCACCCAACCAAGGTCTCAAGCCAGACTCGAACCCACGCCCCTTGTTATGTAACAGCTGTGCTCTACCATATATGCTACGCTCAGAACTGATACCAATGTGTGATATGCCAGAGCAGGGAAGAATATCGGAACAGTCAATGGCCACGTCAAGCAACCCCAACGCATAGAAAAGACCCAGCATACAAGAAGCTGGACTAAGCCCCCTGACCGATGCAGGCAGGGTCTGTATTCATGACCATGCAGCGCCTAGAGGACAATGTGTACAGCCGTACGTTGGTCACCGCTTGCCGGTGGAAATGCGCGAGGCGGCAATTGAGCTTTGAACCCGCAACCTCATACCACAATGAGCATTTCCAACTGGTGCTCTACCCACTGAGCTAATACCCACAACAAATCTTCAAAGGGGACGCAGGTGACCACTGACCCAGGCATACGTGCAAGGGAAATGAGCGATAGCGAAATGACAGAAATCCAGAGTGCAAAATCACATTTTTGAAAGCCAGCACAAGTCCAACGCTGTTCAGAAAGCAGAAATGCACCGACATTCCACCAATGGATAGCCAAAGCATCGAATCCGAATGTCAATGAGAGCATACTCTCGTCATCACCAACACATGCATCCAGAGCCCCTTCCTCCTACTTGGCGCTCAGCGCCCAGCCTACGATCGCACAGCAACTAGCAGCCTACGAATTGACAATGCATCCTGTTGACGTCAGCAGCAACACCCGTACTACGTGAAGATGTCGTCGACCTTGTAGACCATCGCCAAGACCAGGTACGTGGCCCTCACATCACAACCTCTCTCTCTCTCTCTCTCTCTCACCCTCGACTGGCTATGTCCAAGCCGAGCCCCAGCTACGTGGGGCTGGCTATGGCGCTTCCCTCAGCAGCGCCCTGGCTTCTCGCATGACCGCACGCGCGCGCACACTTGCCCACACATTCGTGCAGCAGGCCTTGAGCGCTAGCTTCAGCAGCGCTGCCACATCTGCTTGCAAATGCCGAATGTGTGTGCGGGAGCCCGGCCCTTTCCTATATGGAAAGTGGCTGGCGGCGCATCCCACCTCCTTGACATGTGAGACCGAGTTTCCAGGAGCTTCAGTCTCGGCCAAAGTGTCTGCGCGCAGGCCCGTTCAGACAGTGGCCTGGGACTGATTTGGTTATGCATGCTCAACCACCCCCAGGCACAACGTGCGGTGTTCCCTGCTTCATCCATGTTGCTCGAAGAGCCCGGAAGGCTGACCAATATTTCCGATTCTTATGAGCAAAGCGGATGTAACCAACTGGCGCGTGGCAACTGTCTGGCGCCGACCAAGATTTGCAAACATTGACGAGTTCAGGGCGCATTGAGATTCAGGGGGCCCGCCTTCACTTAGGGTGGGGGCACGCGCCTGCTGCAGGGCCTTATGCCAAGGCATAAACCCTCGCATACAACCCCTTTTTTATGTTTCTGAGTGAATATTTTCCCCGTGCACCGCACCGTGCAGGTCCGCTCGTGCGCCAAACGTGTGGAATTTTCTGCATGTCGCATGCTTGCATGTATGCTCCACACACACAAAAAAGAAGGCACAGCTGTTAAAACCCCTACCTGCCCTACCTCGAATAGGGCAGCTACGTTCTTCACCCGAATACAAAGCACGGGCATTATAGCTGTATCTGGGGTATCTTTCCGTCTAAATACGGCAACAATGACCATACGTTGTCTTCGGGTGAAGAAGGTAGCGCGCTCAAGGGGAATGGCGTTTCCCACCCAAACCAAAAGGACCAAAGCATGCAAGAAAAAGGATTTTGAGGGACAAGAAAAAAAAAGAAAATGTAATATTTCTATACGTCAAATTTGATCAAATCTAACAGAGTTGTGGTGAAACCCTCTCTACCTCACGATTTCCAGGTGGGACAGAGCCTCTGTCCCACAGCAGATCAGAGGCAGGGCTCTGTCCCACATCGGGCCACATGCCACACCTGGTTCAAAAATTATAAAAACTCAACGCTGAGCTACCTCAACATCGTGAGTGGCACTTAGACCCTGTGCAAGGATGACATACATAAAGCGAGAAACGGTTCAAACAAATAAAAATAAAAATAAAAATATATTAAAAAAAAAACAGAAGAAAACTGAATGCTGGAATCTTCAAAGGCATTGTCTACCTGATTATTACGGGGATTGATCCCCGACCACTGCTTGATGTATTTCTTTGGGTCTCGGTCATGTTTTCCGAATTCCTGCAAAAAACACAGAAACCGGAAAAGTCAATAAATGGATGATGATCAAGGCACAAAAGAAAGTACGAAAGAATTCTGGAAAGGAAAGCAAGAGGGCTTAGATGAGAGTAATTACCTTGACAATATCCGGACATGTGTAGCAGCAAGTCTCCTTAATCCTTCTCGCAACATCGAGGCACTCATCCAAAGGCAGAGGCTCACCTCGTTCCTTCAAATGCCACACACACACACAAACACACACACACACACACACACACAGAGAAACACGTTTAGCATTCCCTTCCCTCTCAGATTTTATTAAAGAACTCACTGCCAATATGATTGCAATCAGCGCAAACTTCAACACGCATCTCATGTCACAATGAAGTACACTTCCGCACACAGGAGGTGGAATTCAAAGTATGAGATACGAGAATTTAGAAATTGTTTGGAAATTGGCGTCCCATATGACAAAGTCCGTAATACACGGGCTGGCGGGCCCGCCAGCCAGCAAACTACCACCAAGAATCTCTCTCTCTCTCTCTCTCTCTCTCTCTCTCTCTCTCTCTCTCTCNCTCTCTCTCTCTCTCTCTCTCTCTCTCTCTCTCTCTCTCTCTCTCTCTCTCTCTCTCGCTGTACCCTTAGGCCCCACTTCCAGTCTGAATGTCTTTTCACTCTCACTACTCAAGCTAGCTATGAGGCCCAGCACCAGTTCACCACAGCTACTTGCTTTGCCTCACTCCATTCTCACTCCTCGGTTCGTTGCACGAGATCGCAGCAGCACTTCGTGGAAAAAATGTTGACACCCGCTACTGCTCTGCTTTCGTACCCAACGATTAGGCTTCCCTTCCTTGGACTTTTCCAGACTGGTACCATAGCCTGGCAGCCGCGGTTTCATACTTTTGATGCGTCCAGAATATTCACTGACTTTCCCTGGGACCTTGGGCTGCCGACTGGACTGGACTGGACTGAACTGGATGGGACTGGATGGGACTGGATGGGACTGAATGGGACTGCACTGAGCCAGACTCCTATTGTCAGTTCAGAAAGTCAATGTTGGACTTGCTGGACTGACAATTATGGTACATGGGACCATGGGTCCTTGAGACTGGTACCTTGGGACCCAGAACAGGTTCTGATAGTCGAGAAATCCTTCCATTAGTACACATTAATAATAAGTTATTAATAACGAACCCGTGCAATAAAAAAGTCGCAACATTGATTGAACCTATCCAATATCAAAATATCAATAATGGACTCTATATAGAGATATTATAGAGTCTATATCAAGAGTCTATACAAAGTTCATAGAGAATGAAGTTCCCTATAACATATATTGTCACATATCCATCAAGTAAAGGAGGGCACTTAGCTAAACAATTGCAGAAACCAGCAGGCAGCATTAGACAAACTAGCTGCTTTTTCTGTGTCGTTTTTTCTTTCCCTTTCGTTCTTTTGGCCTTTTTTTCTTTCTTTATGTATCCCGTAAAAACAATTTATCCAACAAAACATGACACAAGGTAATGGGGGGGCCCAACCAAAGTCGAATAAACCTATTGCCGACAACGTTTTCAACATTAATCGGATTCAGCAGTCACGTCATGCCCACACATGAATACCAGACACCACCACATGCACACTCCAGCTCAAAGTCTTGTCACGCAAGTCCACACATACCAGAAGGAGATAGAAACTACAAGCGGTGCAGGCAAAAATTGAGCCAACCTTTGTGCCTCCTTCAACCCACGTGAACAATTACTCTACCTTTTCCTTTTTTTTTCTTTCTTTTTTGTTTTTCAAATCTTCCTAGAGTCCTTAGGGTTGCAATATAATTTGCCACTGCATGCCAGCCTGCCCCTAACCATGCCCCCGTTCCTGCATAGCTCCATGCCCCCGGACCATGCCCCCGAAACTGCACGCCAGCCTGCCCCTAACCTTGACCATGCCCCTAACCTGCTCCCGAACCTAATCCCGAACCTTCTCCCAAACCTGCTCCCGAACCTGTCCCTGAACCTTCAGAAAAACCTGAACCTGAAGCAGCACCTGAACCTGAACCAGCACCTGAACCCGCACCCGAACCTGCGTAGATCCATGGGCGAGCCCCTGTGAGTCTATCAACCTCCACCTCCACGGGCCAAAAATACACAGCATCCATGTAGATAGGTTCCAACCATAGACCCCCACCATGGTTAGTTGCCGGTTCACTTGTGCAAGTGCTGAGCTCTAGGGCTGGCGAAAGACTCGAGCAGCCTGTTCCCCCCCAGATGGGGAACAAGGAGCTGAGCATCCATCGGGAAGCCACCAATGCTCCCTCTCGCAGACAAACACACCCACCCACCCACCCACACACACACACACACACACAACACACACACACGCACACACACACACACACACATGTTACAATCCTGGTCATTCCCAAAGTGCAAATTCACAATGAAAGACAATGCCACCCAATCGCAAAAGAAATGAAAGCATATTCTTCTTCCAATAATAATAATAACAATGAGTGGATGAACCAGAATCAATATTCGAAGTTCCCTCTTACTGCTGACACAACAACAAGTCCACCATAGGTATGGCTTCTCCCCTTCTTCCACCTCTAACATGCCTAGGCTATGGTGGATGACTGAGGGCTCTGCCCTCCTGTGCAAAGGACAACGCAAAGCAGCTATGTCGCTGCACTCCTGTCCAAAGGACAACCCAAAGCAGCTATGCCGCTGCTGACTAAGCCGCCATGCCTGACTCTGCCTCGAGCTTCCTTGGTGCGGCGCTACCCCAACTGGCGCCTTCCAGATGCAGCGCCCAACAAGGTGATGAAGATGGTGTCCACCACAGCCAGGTAGGTACCTCGCCACTCTCCTCCTTCGCCCCCTTCTTCCTTCTCCTCAAGCTGGGCTGCTCGCCATAGCCAGGCTGAGCGCCCAGCTGCTCTTCTCCTCCAGGCAGCACTGCACAAGTCCAGCGCTTGGCTCCAGCAGCATGTCGCTAATTCTTGCATACCGCAAATGAGGAGGAGCTGCTTGCTCCTCCCGGAAGATATAGTGGCCTACTGGCCTCTTGCGTGGTGACTTCCTAGGCCGAGCGGCCTCCCAGCAACCGGTACCTCCTCCCTTTCGTCATTGCAGGCTCTGCTATCGTCCGGACAGGCCCTAGACTCGGGCTACTTGGACTGGTACCAGCCTACCTCTAACCTACCGCTACTAGGCCTCTAAAAATGCCAACTTTTTGTCCTCTTCTGCTCGGCCTCCAGTACCCGACATTTCTTCCACTACGTGAGTGGCACCGGCCTACCTGCTACTTGAGTGTTTTTCCCGATGCTCTAAGTGTCGCAGGCCTACACCAGCTACTTTAGTGTTTTCCCCGCTGCAACCCTCAAAGTCACACCCACAGGTAAGTACCGGCCCTGCGGGCCCTTTCAACCAACAAGTACCCTTGCGGGTCACACACACACTCAGCCGACAAGCACTCAGACAGGCACGCAGCCCAGCAGGCACGCACACACACACAGACTTGGAAACCACAGCAGAATGCAGGAATCCCAGCAAGGCATTCATTCCAGCCGCAAATCCCAGAAATCAGCAGTGTTCTTAGTCTGTGTTTTGGCGGGTCATTACACACACACACACACACACACAGCCATTTTCTCTCTGATAAATGCAAGAGAAAATGCAAAACGAGAAAGCGGGAGCAAAGGCGTAGACCAGCATCTGATCCACAATTTCCCCTGTGAGGAGACTTCAGAAAGCAAGGCTGTTGCCTCTCTGATGGACGAGGGATGACAGATCAAAGAGAAATACAAACGACAAGCTTCAGTCAAGAGTATGCATTCCCCCCCCCCCAAAAAAAAAAAAGAGAGAGAGAGAGAGAGAGAGAGAGAG